ATTTTTCACTTTTCTGCTATTTACAAAGAAACGGCTTGGCTGATCGTCGCGCAAAATTGATAAACGCTAGTCCTCATCGAGATACATCGAATGGATTTTAAATTTTTGAAATCGGTCCAGCCATTATTGAGGAAAACGTCGATTTACGGCAAAAAATTGTTCACACACACCAACACACACAACACACACACACCACACACACATACTTTTTCCAGATTGGTCTCATTCGATTCAGAATGGCTTGAAACGTCGAGAAAACATAAAATTAGCGAATCGAATTCGGATTTTGATTGAAAAACAAAACTTCTCCTTCGGGAAGTTAATACGAAAACCAATTAATGTTTTTAATTATATCCGTAATTATGTAAATTAAATAACTTTTTTAGTACTTTTTATTTCATTCTGCTTCATGTCCTAAAAAATTACCCCCCTTCCCACCAAACATCACGTGTATTTTCAGTTACGAAAATTTTTCGAACGAATTTTTCGAATTTACGAAAAAAGTCTTAATTTTTTATAGTTTTTCGTAAAAGTTTGGATTTTATTTAAGAGTGGATGACATCAACGCTAATCAGTAGTAATTACATACGTAACGGTATACGATTGGCGCTGTTATGGTAAAAAAGGGTATGGTTGTTCGATTCGTTTAGACTCGTATTGCTTCTGGCTGTATTTTCTCAAACGATTTGGCTTCAAAATTTTGTTTTCATGGCATCGTTTTTCTAGTACAAATTTTAATTTCGAAAAATTGCAAAAATCAAACCAAACTACAAAAACACATATCAAACAAACACAAACAACTATCGGAATATGTTCATTAAAACTCACAGGTAATTCACCATTGTAGAAATGTTTTTTGTTGTTTTTCAAAAATTTGTCACCTGGTCTTTTTTAACCATAGGCGGGGTGATATGGGACGTTTATCTCCTGATAGCGACCTCGTAAGGATCAAGATGATGGCTGGTTTAACATCTTTATCTCTCTACTTTCAAATATTGTTACTAACAATAAGAAAATCCTAACTACAGGGTGTCCATTAATCACGTGAACGAGTTTTTAGAGTTTTTGGATCCCCCTTTCCCTTGGTGATACGTCGTGATATTTAAAATTCACCTACTCACCCACCAAACATCACGCGTATTTCTGGTTAGGTAAAATTTTTGAAGGAATTTTTCGAATTTACGAAAAAACGTAAAAGTTTTGATTTTTGTTTTTTTTGAAAAGTTTGGACTTTTCAAAACTTCAGGTAAAAATTAAATATACGTGATATCTTACTAGACCGCTCCCTCCCCCACGTGATGCTTCGTAATTTTTTGCCAAACCCTCCTCCTCCTAAAAGCCTCACATGATTAATGGACCCTTTGTTTTTTTTTATGATGTCGGTGATGGATCTTTTTACCCGCGGACCTTCAAGCCCCGCTTTACCCTATGTTTAAGAAATAAGAAAATACTTAATGAAAGTGAATTTTCGGACTTAAGCCTTGTACACAAGCATTAAAAGTAAACATCAATTAACCTCAATTATAAAAACTGGGTTAATTATTAAACAAACGTTCCCCGTCCGCGTCCCGCAAGTGTAACCCTGCAACCCCGCCCTTATGAGAAAGGGGTCGGGCAAATATTGTAAGCTTATAATCTCGCGCGCGATTTAATTTATTTCCTGGAGTCATGACGCCACGAGTCTCTCCATTAAGAATCGCGTGTTCCCCGATGCTAATTCCATTATATAAATAGTTGCCCCTCGTACCCCTGGGCGAAATCCCTTTCTAGTACGAATGCTGCTAGTTGTTCGTGTTAAAGTTAAATATGTGACCATAACTGGAAAGGTCTCGACAAGATTTATTTTTGCAATATAGATGGGCAACGAACTTATTATTGGCTTTGCACCCAAAGTACTTGCAGAAGTAGGGAGACTGGGTACGGTTGTGTCACTTTTTATTTGGTCAGCCGTATAATTTGTTAATTTGCCAGTTAGCTGGGAGAGAAGTGAATTGAATGGTAATTTAATTGAACATTGTCTACGTGGAAATACTGAAATACTGTCTTTAAATACGATGGATTAGTTATAAATCAATTCATTACATAGAAAAAAAGGATGAGTGTCACAACCAGCGACACTCCCAGGATGGTTGTGACAGGCATAAAATTCGGTTGAAAAGCAATGGCTATAAACATCAAAATGGTTTCTAGGACTTTTATTGCCAGATTAATGTAACACAACTCAAAGTAATCATTTAAACAAAGATTATGAATATATATATCAATATATAACAAAACATATATTTTTTAAACAAATTAACAACAAATCTTTAGTTTTTTGTTTTGAATTTTTCTTCCTATTTTCTTTTGTATTTGTCTTAGTTAAGTTAGATTTTAGAATTAGTACGAATTTTACAATCGTACCCAAAATTTGTCGTTTGTCGTACACACTGCACACTTTTGAAAACAAGTCATTATTATGACTGATTACCAGCAAAAACTAATTGCTGGTGAATAACTACTAATGTTCAACTTACACCAAATAACAAACAAAGTGATCTATCTGTATACAAGTAATAGTTATTATTAAAAGAAATCGAACAAAAAAAATTCTTTTGACTTTTCAAAAGCAATGTGGTCTACAGATCATGTTAGAGCGCTGACTCAATGCAATATTGGAAATGCTCGAACAAACATACCTTATCTTTCTCCCTCTAGAGTCTAGACCCTATCTCAAAATCAGTATAGTTTAGCTGTTATGGCTACTATCACTACCGTACCCTGGCACAATCATAATCAGTCTCCACTACTTAATTTTTTTTAATTTGAAATTTTGCTTCATTTGGCTCAAATACATACATTGATTTTTACATAAAGATTCAAATGTATACACCTTCATTATGCTATCATATTATATTGTTTACATATATGTACATTTGTTTCTAAATAATTAATATAAGTTTGAAAAGAGCTATTAAAAACATACTGCCATCTTGTACTTAATTTACTTGTATTTAATTACATTATTTAATTGTTTTTTATAAGATATATTGTTAATTTTAAGATAGATTCAACAGTTTTTTTTATATAACTACTATAAAAGTTTACATCTGGGCAACGATGCCTACAACCCTGGCCAAGATGCAAACAATGAAAAATTAGCAAATTAAAAAGTAAATTGAGTTAACTAAGCAATTTTAGATAAATCAAATAAATAGTT